TAAACCCTCAAAGATATTACATGCCTAACTTACTCGCGACGCGACGCAAGTGCGCTTAGACTTGCTTTTAACAATCACATAGACTATGTTTATACATTAGTTATATTATTAGCGTAATATATTTAAATAAGTTGTAACCACTTGTTCAATTTTCCTAACACCGCGGCCATTGTCGCTCGCCGTACGAGAAGCGACATTTTATTTTTGTATCGAAAAATTCAGACCCTACATTGAAGGTGTAAAATTCAGTTATATCAATCACTGATCATTACTCGCTTTTGTGGCTTAACAATATTAAAAACCCCAGGTGGGCTGTCAAACTAAGGGAACACAATTTTGATTTAATACACCGGAAAGGGAAGCATAATATTGTGCCGGATGCACTTTCCCGAATACCAAGTATATCAGAACCTTTTGTAAATTCTATTGATGTTAGTGATGAAAAATTAGATGATTGGTATTTGGATTTAAGATCTAAAATTCTAGCTAACCCTAAAGACTATGTACAGTGGTGTGTAAAAGATAATATAATTTACAAATATGTCCCATTTAATTCCTGTGTTACGTCTAATATTTCAGAATGGAAAATTTTAGTGCCTAAGTTACAAAGACCTAACATAATATACTCTTGTCATGATGTTCCTACGGGCAGTCATCTAGGAATTTACAAAACATTAGCTCGCATAAAAGAGCTTTATTATTGGCCTAGGATGCGCGTGGATATTATTCGATACATAAGGAAATGCAAAACTTGTGCATCTCAGAAAATCACTTCGTCTCCTCCTTTAGGTCTCATGGGGGGTGAAAAAAATGTACGTTTCCCATTTCAAATTATTAGTACAGACATTATGGGTCCATTCCCACGATCAAAAAAAGGCAATTCCTATCTTTTAGTGGTTAGTCATTGGTACAGTAAATATACTTTACTCTCTCCCATGCGTAAAGCGACCACGTCTATGTAATAACTTTCTGTGTCCAATAAGAAATTTAAAATTTGTAGGCTTCTTTTAAACAACAACCCATAATAGTTTTCTCTTCTTTATCGATCAAGTCGACAAGTTCGCCTTTTACAAACTCCTCTAGCCTATTAATATCCTCCTCAGATAAATTTTTAATCCCGATTTTATTTGCTAAACCGGACACGTTTACTATATTTTTTAAGAATAGAGGAATTTTGACTTCTAGTTTTTGTTCAATGGAATTGATAAATGTATCCTCCGTATCCCCCCAATCAGAGATTGTCTCAATATTTGCTGTTACCGCCATTGTTTGTTACACTTACGAGCACACCCACCCGCGCTTCAAGAAAATGCGAGAAGAAAATGCTATCGCAGTAAAAATGCACAGCCTAGAGCGAGGCATAGTGACTCACTGTTAACTGCTATTCATAAATAAACCACCTTTATTTACGACCTCGTTTACGACTGTTATTGTTGCTATGTACTTCATAAAAATGAAAATAATTCGTAGAACAATATTTCCTTTTCAATTCTTATTATTCTCGAAAATAACTTGGACTACACATAGTCGTCGGCATTTCCTTTGAAAAGTACGTAAACCGAGACGCTCGCCGAGTAAACTTAATCCTTTTGAATTTGAGCAGGTATATCACAACATTTAATGTACTTAATCCAAGTAAAAATTCCCATAAGAATTTGCACAAGTACTCTATACTGTACTGTATTCATTTTAAGAAGGTAGCGGTAGAAAGCATAGGGAAGCTTTAACCTTCACTGTGATTGGTTAAAACATGAGTCAGTATTACAAAGAAACCGACTGGTGAATTTTGTAAGGTGGTAGTTTATGTTGCCAACTAAACTGCCGAAGTGTCATTAGTTGTTATTGTCAAAGATTTATTTCTGTTCGCAGTGCTGAATATTTCCACTTTACAATAATTTGGTGCCGTTTTATATTTTTCCTGTGTGTGTTTATCTTCAAACACAGCGCCATCTACTACCTTCTTATAATGAATGTAGTATAGGGTGAGTGATAGTGCAAACGTGCGAATTGAGCAATTCTTTATTAACTGAATCTCACTAAAACCAGATTCTAAACTAAATTAAAATAATAGTATATTATCAGAGACAACATATACTACAGACGGTCAATCTTAAGGGGAAAAAGCACGCTAAGTTCTGTTTCAAATGTCCCCTTATTTAAATACCTGCTATCCCTCTATTTTGCTCCATCTATTAGCGCATACAAAAATGTGTTGGTTCTTCTGCAGATTTCTTTTATTCGAATGGTTTTGCAAATTGTCTAGGGAAAGAAGTATTGATACTTTATTGTTAGAAAGTTGTCTCACTCCCACACGAAATCCCCATATTTACGTCTGGACCATTATACTACGTCTGGGCGATAATCTTTGCAGGTACACATACAGAGCAAATATCACTTCTTATTCGCAATTACGTATTACCATTGTATTTTTTTTTTTAAAGTGTAATCTCCGTGTTTGTTTATATACCTACTTACTCTATTTGCTACTTATCTCTCCGTTTGTGGAATAAATCTTGCAATCAGCAATTTAACTTCATTTAACTTGGATAAAGAAAACCTAAACGTAGCAATTTTCGAATGAATATTTCCCTCATATGTAATAAATCCCATATGAGGTGTGCAATTATCGGTCAATTACAGCGATAATTGCATTGTAGAAAACGAAAGAGCCCTGCGATAATTGCACATTTCATGGGATAACACTGCAGACAATTTTACAAGTAGGTAACGTGAGTTTGTAATGTTTATTCGGGAAATATTCCCCCGAATTACACTGGTCCATCAAAATAAACCTGACTATTCAATTCATCTAACATTTGTCACATTTCAACCAGTGAAATGTCTCGATTTCAAATTGCTGCGCCAATGGGAACGAATTATAGTGACTATTCAATTCATCTAACATTTGTCACATTTCGACCAGTGAAATGTCGAGATTTCAAATTGTTGAGCCAATGGGAACGAATTATAGTGATAATTTCACGTGTGGTATTTCAGCGATAATTCAATGCGATTATTCAATGACATTTGTCAAACTTCCACCAGTGAAATGTCGCGAAATTTTGTCGTATTAACCGGAACATTCTTCTTAGTTTGTTAATCAATTTCGACAACCGACATCACCACATCTTTTAATTTAATCACTCATAACCAATTAGCTTGGAGCACAAAAGTTCGAATAGAATCAATAGCAAAATAAAAAGCAACTTCCGTAATTTATTTTGACGTTTATTGTTGTCATGGAAATACATTCGCGTGGGTAATTATGCTTAATTTTTCTTTTGATTCATTGAATAGTCCTCCGAATACCATTGGTAGTCGAAGTATTTGTAGATTATTTTTGAGCTGCTGCTCCACTCATGCTAGTTACGCTTTTTAATACCACTCGCGCTGTAATACTTCTATCTTGCGGACACTCCTGGCTACGCTTCGCGTCGCCACTCGTGCCACAAGATAGTCGTATTAAAGCGCTCGTGGTATTAATCAGCGTAACTAGCATTCGTGACAGCACCTCAAAAATATTCGACAATACTTCGACTACTTATGGTATTATATATGACAATTTCACGTGTGGTATTTCAGCGATAATTTCACGTGTGGTATTTCAGCGACAATTCAATGCGATTATTCAATGACATTTGTCAAACTTCCACCAGTGAAATGATGCGAAATTTTGTCGTATTAACCGGAACATTCTTCTTAGTTTGTTAATCAATTTCGACAACCGACTTATCACCACATCTTTTAATTTAATCACTCATAACGAATTAGCTTGGACCACAAAAGTTCGAATAGAATCAATAGCAAAATGAAAAGCAACTTCCATAATTTATTTTGACGTTTATTGTTGTCATGGAAATACATTCGCGTGGGTAATTATGCTTAATTTTTCTTTTGATTCGTTGAATAGTCCTCCGAATACCATTCGTAGTCGAAGTATTTGTAGATTATTTTTGAGCTGCTGCTCCACTCATGCTAGTTACGCTTTATAATACCACTCGCGCAAGCGCTCGTGGTATTAATCAGCGTAACTGGCATTCGTGACAGCACCTCAAAAATATTCGACAATACTTCGACTACTTATGGTATTATATATGATAATTTTTTATTCAAGTATCTTTTCAGTAAAAAACTGCGTTCGGTTATTTTCATGTATTTTGTTAAAAGAGCATTTTGATGCACTTGTGCAATTACCTACGAAAATTGTCACAAAGCAAAGTTTTAATAGCGATCCTCGAGATGGTTTATAGTTTTATATCTATTACTGTCTGCCGGTTTAGTGTGTTGTCACTTCACTCAACGAAACCATGTGTATTGTATGCAAAAAAATCCCCTGAATCCGTAAATCACAGTCTCGCTGACCGGAAACTCCGGGAACATAATTCCGGTGAATTAGAAATGTCGTTTTGTCGCATTTGACTTAATTAGGTATCTAACAACTATTGAATGACACGCGAATGATAAGCGACAAAAATGAAACATTTATTTTTAAAAAACTGCAAATCTGCAAATTCCAAAGGTTTATGCAATCCAAAAGGCAATGTAGTGAAAGCAGTGAAAAATTGTTTAAAATTATTTAAAAGAAAATTTTAAACAATTGCACACAAAAGATTAATTGGTAAACGACTGTTCAACATTTGCAAGGTAATTTTAAGACATGATGTTTTTTGTACCTAAGAACAAAATATACACAATGATTTTTTTTGAGTTATTGTTACGAACAAAAATTTACAAATCATGTAAATGGGAGAAAAATTGAAAATAATTCATCACGTGTAATTTAGTTTTGTGATTTACGAGGGCGTAGAAGGGACAGTATATTAAAATAAAATATGGTGTGTCAAAAAATAGTATATTATATCTGTGGTGGGAGAGAAAAAGAGTATAAGTCTCACATTTGGTAAAATTAGTTTAAGTCATTAACGAGATGTTATTATTTTTGGCTATCAGTTGGGACTAACAGTATAAGTTATATTCTATAATTTAAGACAAGGATGTCTATACACAGTTTAGTATAACTTCATTTTTGTAAGGTCTTTGATGAGAAAAGGAGTATAAGTTGACTTATACTATTTTACACATATCATCTTAATAAAGAAAAATAGTTTAAGTTGACTTATACTGTTTTACACACTACTAATGGAAAGTTTGGATTGTACTTCATTCCCCCCGTCAAGTCAGTCTCATGTTGGTTGTGCGTGGGTGCGTGTGCTTGCGATTTTATCATCACCGATCAGCAGTTCTATGCAAATAATGGCGTCAGAAAGAACGAAACGCATTCTAAGGCTTGCTGAACTTGATATTGGTGTGTATAAATTGTATTTTAGATTGTATTTTTTAAATTATAAATTATATAGATATTGAGGTTAGCAGTTCGTCCCCGAGACCCGTGAAAACGATTAGAGATGTGTTTGAAAACGACATTGTAGAATCTCTGGTGAAATTTGATTCTGGAACTAATACAAATGAAGTCAATTATGGCAACAGCGATACCGAATATGACGATAGTGATGCTGATAAAGACTATACACCTGATAAAGAGGAAGAAGACAGTAGTGAGAGTGATGAAATAAACGTTGAAAATCAACTCCTACTTGAAAAGGAAAATGTAGAGGAGAATTCACAAAATATGCAATCCGAAGCCAAATCTACCAGCAAATCAAATAAAAGAAGTAAAGGAGGGGTCCATTCAAGGAAAAACAGAAGGGAAAGAAAGCAACAGCGAAATTTAGGAAAAAGCTACATTACGGCGAAGGGAAAAGAAAAAAAGCAAAGAGAAATTGCAAGAGTTGCCAACTTGTAGGATGAAATGTACTGATCGAATACCTCCAGAGGTACGTAAAAGCATATTTAGAGAATATTGGTCATTAGGAGACCGCAACAAACGTGTTGCTTATGTAGCAAGTCTAGTGGATACAACAGAAACCGCCACTAAGAGGAAAAGGACTGCAGATCCTGATAAGGAAAAATATAGAATGATTACCCACACCTATCACTTCAAGGTGAACGGCGAAAGATTGAAAGTGTGCAGAGGCTGTTTCATGAAAACATTAGCCGAGACACAAATGTTTGTGACATTGGCTATTTCAAATTCAAACTCGTTTACCTCTGGAATTACATATGACGATCAGAGGGGTCGAGCAGAGCCTGCCAATAAGCATTCACCCAATATGATACAAGATGTCATTGATCATATAAAATCCTTTCCGTCTTATAAATCGCATTATACCAGGAGAGATAACAACAAAAATTTTTTGGCCCCCCATCTAACGTTGCAAATAATGTATCGACTATACTGCGAAGGTCGCGAGCCTCGAGTTTCTAGAAGAATTTATGAAAGGGAATTTCATAATATGAACTTGGCATTCAAACAACCAAAAATTGATACATGCCATAAATGTGACATGCTCCATATGAAACTTAAAGTAGAAGAAAACGAAGAAGAAAGAAAACGTGTTCAAGAAGAGATAGAAGTTCACCATGCCGAGGCTGATAATGCGTACCTGAAGAAAGATGCGGACAAAAAGTTTGCCAAGGGAAACGATGACATCAGATGCTACACCTTCGACCTACAGCAGTGTCTTCCAACCCCGTATGTTAACTCATCTATTGCTTTCTACAAGAGACAACTTTGGACTTACAATTTAACAATGCACGATTTAGGAAGTGGTGGTGTTACATGTTACATGTGGCATGAGGCCGAAGGAGCTCGTGGTGGTAATCAAATCGGAACTTGTTTGTTTAAGCAGTTAACAGATTTGCCTACTAATATTAAGCATGTAGTACTTTATTCTGATACGTGCGGAGGGCAAAATAAAAACTCTCATGTTGCTGCTATGTTTTTATGTGCTATGCAACAAAATAAGAATTTAGAAGCCATTGACCACAAATTTATGGTGGCCACAGTCATATGGAGTGTGATGTCGATCATGCTTTGATTGAAAAGCAAAAGAAAAAATTAGGCATTGAAATATCCCATCCACATGATTGGTACCAACTCGTTAGAGGTGTGGGCAAAAAAGAAAAGTTTCTGGTGAAAGAATTAGACCACAGCATGTTTTTGAATTTCTCTGCTTTGTATAGAACTTCATTGACATTAAGGAAAAAGGACTCGGAGGGGAACTCTTTTAAGTGGCACGATGCCAAATGGTTTCGTTATACTAGAGAACCTAGTAAGGTATTTTTTAAAACATCCTTTAATGAAGATGAGCCATTTAAAGAATTGAATTTAAAACGTCGTGGTAATAAAAACACAACCTTAAGTCCAACAAAGTGCTACACAGATACTCTACCCATTACTAAAGAAAAAAAATCGAATTTGTTGGAGCTACTGCCTTTAATATCCTTACCTTTCCGTGATTTCTATGTAAACTTAAAAACGTCCAATGATATTGCAGACAGTTATCCAGATATCGAAGAATTTGATGAAGATAATGCTACACAAGCATAGAGTATTTTGCACAGTACCTCTACATTACAAATTTGTGTTTATTTTTGTACTACCTTATTTTTTAAATAAACAAATTCAGCTAATAAACAGGATTTAGTTACAAATTATTGCCACCTTAAAAAATAACCCATTTGAAGTTGTTGCACTTATAGTACATGTCAATCATTAGCATGGTACAAACAGTATGTCACATTTATTTTTTTTATTATAAAAAATTGAAAATTTATATTTCCCCAGCAAAACGGTGCTTCTAAACCCTGTGTAAGTATGTAACTCGTTATAAAATATTTTTAAAGCATAATGTTAAGGTTGACAAAAACTTATTTTCCAGTTTACTAAAAATGAACATTCTTGACTTATACCTTTTTCCCCACCCACCACAGATATTATGAGGAGCTAAAGTGATACTTTTTATGGCGAGTCAGTGTTTGATGGCCGAGCGAAGCGAGGCCAGCAAAATACTGACGAGCCATAAGAAGTTACCTTAGCTCCGCATAATATATGCTATTTTTTCTTCAAACGTGAGAATAACGCCCAAATAATGGTTTTCAAATCGGAAGAAATATTAACCCGATCGTTATAGGTAGCCGTGAGCGCGTCGGCCGTGGTGACTATAACAATTGCTATAGTAGTTGGCCATTATTAGTTTTGACGTTTTAATTGTGGACGAGTTTTTCGATTTCAAATAAAAATGAAATTGCACAAAAAATACTTTCGACAACTTTAGAAAATCCAGGTTTATCAGATGGAATGACTTCAACTACTCCTTCATTTGAAGCAGTTTTAAAAATACTTCATTCATTCATTAGAAATAAGACGAGCCAAACAAAACTTGACTCTTCAAAACTTGGATGCTGCAGGAACGAGGGTTTAATTTCAATAATGGTAATATGACTAACTGCACTTTCAACATTAACTATTATTTAAATAAATAAATAGCTTCTTTGATCGACTATATTTTTATTTCTGTTAAAATCAGAAGGAAAGATCAACGTACTTGCTAGGTGAACGAAGAAACTAATGTAAATAACATCAACTTGTCAAAGCAAAACAATGTGACACTGGCACTGAAGCGTTTTAATGCCTAGGCACTAAAATACTTCACTGCCGCTTGTTCGATTGTTCTAAAAAGTCAAACTTTAACTCAGAGTGCTGGGCTACGTAATGTCAATATTATATGACGTTTGAAGAAAAAAATATTAATTTCGTGGTACTAACGTGAGGTAAATATTAATTTCGTGACACTAACTTAAAGTAAATTTTAATTTCGTGATACTAACCAGAAACAAATATTAATTTCGTGATACTAATTCGAAGTAAATACTAACTTCGTGATACCAAATCGACGTTTGCTTCTGGTTATAACGAAATTAATATTTACTTCACGTCAGTACCACGAAATTAATATTTACTTCGAGTTAATACCACAAAATAAATATTTTTTCGACATACCACATTTAATTTTAATATACTGTAATTTTTATTTTTATTAATAGTAATAATAAAATTTATTTTTGTTTTGATCCTCATTTTTTTGCAGTACATACAGGGGGGGCCAGGCCCCGGACGCCATGTCTGGGGGGCGCTGAAGTCGCCCGTCGTCGCCTTCGTCGGGAGCGTCAAAGGCGTGACTGAAAGATTTACCTCGAATTATATAAACGAATCCGTACATACGCTTGTCTTGTTTCGTATTTTATAAATTCTGAATCAGTAAAAATTAAAAACTGTCGCGTTTATAAAGTCGGTAATTCCATGGAGTTAGGAAATCAAACAAAAGCGCCTGCACTTGCCATGTTTGATCTCAAATTGTCATGGCACCACTCATTTTCTTAGAAGCGCCAGTTTTTAGTTATCCAATTTCTTGGTTTCAAAGTTCATAAAATTAAAAGCTATAGTATGCATGGATTCCTAATTTTTTTCCCTGCAAAAAACCTAAATAGTCTTTCTCTCTAAAATATTTAGGGAAGTCAATAATCAGAAATGAAAAAATTACTATTCCTATGGTGCGTTGTTCAAGTCACTACCCCACCCGGTATAATAATATATTTATTATAGAAAAACAAAAATTATGTTTATTATTCTAATAAAATCTTTCCTTGCCCTCATAATTTTATATTTGGAGGGGCGCCAAATTTAGTTTCCGCCCTTGTATAACCAAACCCGCTCCAATTTTTTAAATGTTTAGAAAAGAGAAAAATGAAGAATTAAAATGTATCCTATTTCATGTAATTTATGATGTTATACAAGTGAGCGCTTATCTTATCTGTACGTAAAGGTCGGCGTTCTGAAGCCGAGGAAATAAGGTTTGAGTATATGTATTTTATTTTTACAAAAATGGCTCCATCTATTACACACTTTTACCACACACAACAGTTTTCTGTGCGTCTACCACATTTTACGACAAATTATTTCGACTGCTTCAAGGTAGGCAACACACTAACCGTACTCTATTAGGTGTTGCGTTTATTTCTATAGCATTGCATTGACCGTCTGTAGTATATGTTGTCTGTGATATTATATACAGCGGGACTGAAGTAGTACTTTTAATCCCGAAGGTAAAGTTTATGGCCCGACCGAAGGGAGGGCCATAATTTACCTGAGGGATTAAGACCACTACTTCAGTCGCAAGGTATATACGATATTTTTCGTACTTCCGAAACTGAAACACTTAATATGTATGGAGTTAGAGAACGCGTTCTTTCAAAAAATCGCTGCTTAACAAGTTACCATAGGAACGTTGCGTCAGTACACCAAATCCTATGCTATGGTAACAAAAATAATTTGGAAACTGTCATTGCTAGTGTCATAATTTTGGTGGTGAGTGACAATGGTGTATTTGATATTGATAAAAAGCAGCCAAAGATAGGTAAAGAATTGATACCACCGAAATCCAAAAAAACTATATGAGCAGCAGTACGATGCGTTTAAGTAGTGCCGCATACAAAATGTGGAACAACCTACTGAAATGGCCTTGATAGTAATTTCATCCTTCCGGGATTTTCGTCCAAATTTAATCCCGGCGGGACAAAAAGTGACACTTCACTACTTGTCATAGTGGAGTGAAGTTGTCACTTTAGTCTCGGAAGTACGAAAAACTACTAATTCATACCTAAAACCAGGCGTCGTGCCACAACAATTCAAAATTGTTTCGCATCGTAACCAACAGGAATTTAGATGGAAATGCGCACACACAAATCAATCACATTACCTATTTCGGCCTCTGTCGCCTGGTATAGAAACACAAACTAACTAAAGCCGCATCCACACGTCGATAAATCTAACTTATAATTATTAAAAAGGAAATCATTTACCATTCTGCTACTGTTGCATACATAAATAACGTACGTTTTCCTTAATTTAAAAATTTCCTGGTTTTGTTACTGGTCATAATTTTGATTTTCCCTGCCGTTTTGTGTCCGTCCTTGTACTTACTTGTGCGCACGCAAAATATTCGTGGAAGGAAGAAACAAGTTCCAATCTTGCTGCTTGCGAATGCATATATTACTACTGTCTTGTGTCGTGCCGAAACTCAATTTTTTGAAACCCTAAATTTGCAATTGAAGAAACAAACCCTACTCGACCATCGTTCTGCTCCACAAACCGCGCCGTAAGTACTCCTTATCTTTAACCGCTCCAAATTCTCATGTACGTTATATAAATCAATTCTCCGCCGCTAAATTTATTCAAATTGTATTTTAATATTTCAATTTTTGAATTGCTTTTGTGTCTAAATTTATTTATTTCTGATCATCAAAAAAATTAGGAAGATCGGTAAATTATTTTAAGATTTACTCTTCAGCTACAACTATGCCACCCCAAGTTAAAAGTGACCACATGTTAGCTCTTTAACCTTCCCACTTGGAAATATATCGTTTCAAATGTGACACATGAAACGTACCTCTTTCCTGATCATTTTCACAGTTAAGAAGTACATAGGTGAACGGCCCTATTGCCTTTTTTATTCGATAGGGACCTTCGAACAAAAGCATAAATTTTTTGGTTTCCTCCTTCACAGCGGAGGATATATTTTGACTCTTCAGCAAGACTACATCACCCTTTTCAAACACCGGCAACGGTCTAGAAGAACAACGCACATTTCGTCGAGCCGCTGCACCTTCTAGCGTCTCTTTTGCTAGTATGAGTTTTTGCTCAGGTGGAAGCCCATGATTAACTGATTCAGTCGGACGTTTTAATTTTTTTGGAAGCAATTCGACAGGAGGGTTTCCAATCTGTAACTCGCGTGGGCTAAAACCAGTAGACTCCTGTACTACTGAATTAAAAAATAACTCAAATTTTGACAACTCAAAAGCCTCGCTACAATAGGTTCGGCAAAAGCGTCCGAGCTCCCTCATAACACGTTCTGATGGATTACTTTGAGGTCTGCGTATCGAGGAACGTATAACTTTTATGCCTAAACTCGTTAATTTATCGACCCATAATTTGGCCGTAAATTGTGTACCATGATCGGTTAACAGCCGTTCTGGTTGGCCATATTTTACAAAGAAATCAGTTACAAGCCTATTCAAAATGCTACGAGTCGTTGCTTTCTTAAGAGCGTATAAAGTCACGTACTTTGTAAAAACATCCAGCACGACACATACAAACATTCCCCCCCCCCCCCCCCCCACGACTCGGAGGTAACGGCCCATAAAGGTCCAGAGCCACCAATCATTCTTCGATTTTGGCAGGATGAATTGATATCATTTACCATTCTGCTACAAATTTTGTTCTATTAATCCGATTGAATTAATAAAAATTTGTGATTATGTATCAAACAATAATCTTTGCAAATGAAGTCTCTCCGAGATTCTTAAATTTCAAAACAAAAAAAGCAATGTATGCAATCGAAATGTAACAATCATTCTATTACTCTTTCGTAAGACTCTAGCACATTATTTACGACTGAACTACATGAACGAATGTTAAACCACATTTTTTTGCATAATTTTCACGAATTGTAAGCGTCTGGTATACATTTATCTTTACATTTACAAATCATTGATACTCGCATTGATATG